AGAAAGTTAAATCAGACCAGAGCCAAGAACTGTTCTCCCAGCTCTGAGAATTTTCACAAGCTCCCTAATAAGAAGAAATAAAAAAAAATGAGAATCCCTTGCACATCATTTACAGTGATAGAAAGTAGTTCACAGTAGCATTCTATCCTTCAGATGCATTCTATCCTTTAGATACAGAGACATAGGGAGCATTTCTTTGAAACTTTGTGACTCCAATGCACCTTGTCAAAGTCAGGGGCAGAGATCTCACCTGCAGTGCCTCATTACTAATTTAAAGCTCAGTCCTTCCATTTTTCCCAGAATGATTGCATCCCAAGCATTAAACATTTATTGTATTGGATCCCTTGGAAGAAAGGTAATTTTCAAAGACAGAACTGAAGGAAGAAGATAGCTCACAAAACTATTAGACTACAAGATTCATAAGGGTGGGAACTGTAGTATTCTGTTTGCCATTAATGCACATTTCTGAAATTTAGATACAAATTTATCCTATACATAATTATTGTATATAATTATGTATAGGATAAATGTATATTATTTATATTTTCAATCCATGGGATGGGTTCTGCCACTCCTAATCCATTCAATGGCTTCATAACAGATCTCTAAAAAAATTCTCCTCTAGATAATTGTCTTTAACATATGGCTAGTCAACATTAACTACTATAGTCAAGGTCTAGGTCTAGAGTAAGTAAAACAGACCACCAGCAACAGCCCTTCCACATTTACATGCATGCACACACACATGCGTACATACATACATGCCTCTGACTTTTTGTGTGTCTTTTCCATGAAATAGGCTAAAAATATGGAATTTCCACTTTGAGACCTTTGAAACAATCCCCATAAATGTCAAGGGCTATTTTGGCTTGACAATGAATTTATCACTTCACTATAGGTTATATTCACAAAGTTAGTCTCTCTGACTCAGAGCCAAGTTAAATCATGGCCTTGTGGTAATTACACAGTATTAAGAAACTGTAGGTTTCTAATAAGATGTTGAAGGGTAATAAAATAAATTACAGCATTTGGGCTCTCTTATGCAAAGTGCCAGTCACTTCTTTGGCAGCAGAGCAAGAGCGCCTGTTATATGATCCAGATAGGTACACAGTTATACCTTCTTTACATAAAACTCTATATGATGTTATATATCATTGCATATACAACTGTATATTACTTATGTTTATTATATACTTGTATTTGATGTTATCTGTACATATGTAAACATGTAGATAATTGTACATATGTAGATAATTATCTCATGATAATTTATGAGATCTTTCATTGAATGTTGCGGGTAAGTTAGTATGAGTCTTAAATTGGACCAGTATTATAAAATGCTTTGACTGCATAGTGCTATATTTCTAGAAATAGACAAGTGTTGTACTTTCATGATTAACTTCAAACTTTTATGTTTTATAATACATGAAGTATAAAATTATGTAAAGCTAAGCATAAAAGTTTTATAATGCATCATTTTTCTAATGCATATAAATCGTTATAATATATATAATACATTATAAAACATATACATTTATGTATTATATAAACATAATGCATTATAAATTATAAAGGTTGGTAAATCATTATAAATTAAAATTCTGGAAAATTAAACATTGCAAACATGCTTTGCAACAAAGCAGATGATAATCAGCATCCACTGGATGTATCTCTGAGGAGGCAGCACTAAGAAGAAACTATTAGGAAATGCATCTGTTGTAATTAAGAATGTAAAGCCCAACCACAGTTCTAAAATCTGGCTACACCACTTGACTAACTATGTGACTGGGGACAAATTAATTAGCCTTTTCTTTCCTCCGTTTCCTCACCTATGCAACAGGGGCACCTAATTATACTAGGATAAGCTAGGACGCCAGTAATAACCACCAATAAGAGCCACCGCCCAAGCTCAGTGGTAACATACCACATGTGATTCCCACTCATACAGAGCCTTCCCAGGTCCACACAGATTCTCAGGGTGGCCGAGATCCCTGAGCTGGCCAACACAGCAGGCTGCTTGACTCCTACCTGACAGGCACTCTACCCTGACAGGCACCCATGGGGTCAGAGCAGGGAAAGAGAAAGAGAAGACATGCAGACGCAGAGCACTGGCTCCTAAGCTCCACCTCCTATTAGATGACAGTTTTGATTATTGTGAAGTATACAGAAAGAAAATTAAGATAAGGTTAACCTGAACTTAAAAAAAACATCATCCAATTCAGAACTAGAAAGCTCTCTAAAAGTAAACCCCTTGTAATGCAGAAAAGGTCAGAGAAAATATGAGAATTTTTACCTTAGTTTCCCACCCAGCAAGGGCAGGCCTGAAGTCAAACTCTGCTATCTGTTCTAACTCCCTCCTGGCTGCAGTTCCGCGGCCAAACTTTGCAGGTGTGTTCAGCATTCTTGACTCTTCTGGAATATCGTGGAGACCAGAGCAGCATGGTAGTTAGGTGTCTACTCCAAATTTATATTTAAAAGAAAATCTAGAAATAATGGTAATAATGGAGAGGGTCTTCCAGATCAGAAATTATACTGCAGCCACTATTAACTAATTATATCTTATTTTAACTAATTTTAACGATTAACTAATTATATCTTAACAACAACATGATATTTATTATCCAAACCAATTGAAGATTCCAGATTAAATACCATCCTGAAAAAAGATAGTTTTGCTCTGACAAGAAGGAATAAGAATGGAAAGTGGCATGGAGATTTCTCAGAAAACTTGGAATGGAACCACCATTTGATCCAGCTATTCCACTTCTCAGTTTACACTCAGAGGACTTAAAATCAGCATATTACATGATGCAGCCACATCAATGTTTATAGCAGCTCAACTCACAATAGCTTAATTATGGAACCAAGGTTCCTTCCACAGATGAATGGATAAAAATAAATTATATATAATACACACACACACACATATATATATATATGATGGAGTATTACTCAGCCTTAAAGAATGAAATTATGGCATTTGCTGGTAAATGGATGGAGATAGAGAATATCAGGCTAAGCAAAATAAGCCAATGCCAAAAAAACCAATGGCCGAATGTTTTCTCTGGTATGTGAATGTTAATTCACAATAAGGGGGAAGCTAGAAAAGAATAGAGTTACTTTAGGTAGAGGGGAGTGAAGGGAGGGGAGGGGGTTTGGGGGTAGGAAGGACAGTAGAATGAATCAGACCTATTACCCTATGTGTATATGCAACTGTAGGACTGGTGTGATTCTACATCATATACAACCAGAAGAATGAGAAATTATACTCCATTATATATGATGTATCAAAGTGCACTCTACCGTCATGTATAACTAATTAAAACAAATAAAAATTTTTTTGAAAAAGGAATAAGATCTGCAAGAAGAAGTGACATGGCATGCGTCAGAACTCTGAAAGCATTCAAAATAAGGTCTGTTGATCATTGCGCTTTCTGAATCATTTTAAAATGATCATACCCCTGGCCGTGTCTTACTCACACAGCTCAGCAAGGTGTGTGCATTCCTAACAACAGGGAGAGCTAGACTGCTGAGCTAGATGTCACTTGTGGGTTTTGTTTCTATTTGTTGAGTGGAGAGGAAAACCAAACAATCAGTGAGCCAAGCTGAGTGAACTGCCTAGTGTCACTGAAGGGCGTGGCCAACAGTGACTAACACAGTCATTTTCCACTTGAACAGGTTCAGGTTCAAAAAGGAACTTCAGTTATTTTAAAAATGAAAGGAATGATTGCAGTTCTATCACCATTTCCATTCATTTAGATCATCGCCATACCAAGGGAGCCCTCCAGCACTGAGCCCAGAAATGCAGCTATTGGATCACAGGCAGAGCCAAGGAGGCATGCCACTGTCAAGTACCCAGGTAATGAACACCCAGCCAGGATGACAGCTGTCAGTCACTTCTTGGCTACACTTTTCATCTTATAAAGTTGCCACCATTGTACCCCAGTGCCCCAAATACTCTACTTAAAATTTTTTGTGTGTAGTGACCTTCCTTCAGACCCTTTATAATGTCATCTGACCTTATGAACATCTAGAAATGTCATTGATTCAAATGACCGCTTGCTTACTTAATGACATTGGTAGAAAATGAAGCCTAAAGCTCATATAACTCTACCCCAAGTCCTCCAGAGTCTTGTTAATTGTAATGAGGGCCATGTGACATCCTGAAATACAATTTTATATATGGTTGGCACAAAATACCTATACATATTTATGGTGTACAGTATGATAACTTAATTTATGTGTACAATGTATATGATCAGCATTTCTATCTTCTCAAATATTTATCATTTCTGTGTGTTGGGAACTTTTGGACTCTTCTACTTATTTTTAAATACACAAGAAATTCTTATAGACCATAATTACCCTACTATGCTACAGAACGTGATAATTACTCCTATCTAACTGTATTTTGGTACCTTCCCATCCCTCCCTCCCTTCCTAGTCTCTAGTAACCACTATTCTACTCCTTAGATCAACTCTTTCAGTTTCCACAGAGTAGGACCTGAGGCATTTGTCTTTCTGTACAATATGTTTGTAAAGAGAAACCTGTTACATCCTACTCTCGTAAATGGTATGGATGATGTTCTTTCTTCTTCCAGTGGGTTATGGAGCAGGAAAGTGGAGATGAGATAAAAGGAGCCCTGTACCTACTGGAGTCCTTTAGCCCTCTCAGAGGCGACATTTGTACTTCACATCCAGCCTGATCCAGTATCTGGGCTAGTTTCATGTGTCAAAACCGAAGGGGAAGTCTTGGCAAGGGCACTGGTTTTGCTTCAAGTGAGGCAGGCTGAGAAGATACACATCATTTTGTTCACACAGAACTCCCCTCCCTTTTTTCCCTGCTTCTTTCCTGCTTGGAGCTGACTCCTCCTTCCTGCAGCTCAGAGGATCACAGGCTGATTGAAGAACACAAAGGTTCCGATGGGAGCCTGAGTACAGGCTGGCTCTGCTTGCTCATATTCATATTCTCTCTCTCTCTCTCTCTCTCTCTCCCCCATAAAAGCTGAAACCTACCTGACAGTCTCTCTGCTTCTGAATCCAGCTCTGGAACCAAATGCATCCTTTTATTGCTCTAAAAAGTGAATAGTTTGATTACATCCAGCTACGCCCTGCTTTCCTCCATAAGAAGGACCCAAAAGGACCTAGACATCATTGATTGTCAATCTACCTGAGGAGTTTTTGCTTTCTTGATGGAAATTTGGTTGTGGAAAGGAGTTTGGAGTTTGTCTTTAATTGGAATGTTGAAAAGTTGCTTATTGATGCCTGAAATGGAACTCAGTTTTTAGATATGGGTTAAGTCAGATCTAAAGAAGCCATGCCTGACCGTTTCCTGCAGGACTGAGGGACACCTAGAGGGAAACTTGGTAGGAGAAATGACATCCGATTGGCAACAACCATGCTTTATTTTGAGAAAATCATCAGACTCATTGAGAAGGGAAATTAAATATTGATCAAGGACAATGTCTTTCTTCCTCAGTAACTTACTAGCAAATGACTCTAGCCTGTGGAAAGAAAATCATAATTCTACGGACCTTTTAAATTCACCAGGAACTCTGAATATCTATCTTTTTTGCCTGACATTTTTGATGGCTCTTGCAGCCCTAGCGGGCAGCATTTTTTCACTCGTGACCCTGCTGGGAATGCGGAACAGAACAGTCGTGTCCATGCTCGTGGCTTCCTGGTCTGTGGATGATCTCCTGAGTGTCCTGTCAGTGACCATCTTCATGTTTTTGCAGTGGCCAAAAGAGCTCCCGGGCTACTTCCAGTCTCTGTGCACCACGTCCGCCTTGCTGTACTTATGCCAGGGCCTCTCCAGCAACTTGAAAGCGACTCTCCTGGTCTCCTACAACTTTTACACCATGCACCGGGCTGAGGGGAGCCCGGCGGCCTCTGGCAGACCTGGCCGGGTGCTCGGCGTGGCGCTCACGGTGTGGGCAGCCAGCCTGCTGCTCTCCGCGCTCCCGCTGTGCGGCTGGGGCGCCTTCGTGCGCACGCCCTGGGGCTGCCTGGCCGATTGCTCCAGCTCCTACGTGCTGCTGCTCTTCTCCGTGTACGCCTCGGCCTTCGGGCTCCTGGCGGGCCTCTCGGTCCCGCTCACTCACCAGTTGCTGTGTTCGGAAGAGCCGCCGAGACTCCATGCCAACTACCAGGAAATTTCCCGTGGGGCTTCCACTCCTGAGACCCCTTCTGCTGCGGGGAGAGAGCTTTCGTTGTCTCCTGAGGATGCTCCGGGCCCCGCTCTGCGCTGCGCTGGGGGATGTTCCCGGAGTCCGGACACTGCCTTTGGACCCGGTCCGCCGGCGACCTCAGGGGCGGGAGCCTGCAGGCGTGAGAACCGGGGGACACCGTACGGCACCCGGAGCTTCACCAGGAGCGTTGCGCAGAAGCGCTTCGCTTTGATCTTAGCGCTGACAAAAGTCGTTCTCTGGCTGCCTTTAATGGTAAAAGTGCACTTGCTCCTAATGCGCGCGTATGGGCCAGGCAGTGTGAGTGCATGTTGAGGCCAGCGTCGCGGGTTTGGGGAGCCACCAAAAGATGTGCAGTGAAGTCCTTTTCCCAGAGAGGTGCCTCGCCAGGTTTTAGACAGTCCCTGGAAGGAGGGCGGCTTCCCGCTGGGAGCAGTCCGCCACCGAACCTTTCCAGCCAAGCATTACTCTCCTTTCAAAACTGAGGGGCTTGAGGAGCACTTTCCGTAACGGGAGACTTAGTTTTTCTGTGTTATGATCAAATTCCCAGCAAAATTTGGAATATTCAGAACAGAAAGAAAGGTTTTTTCCGCCTTCTGTCGCCCCTTTCTCTGTGCTCCTTTCCTGCCAGGTGAGGACCGCGCCCAGGCCCAGCAGGGAGACCAAGGAGGAGCGCTTGTGCTGTAGAGCGACAAGAGAGGGGGCCAACCAGGCTTTTGTTCTGGCCTCCGGGTCGAGGCCGAGGGAGAAGTGTCAGTGTCGCCTTGCTCTGACAAGCGCTCCTGGGTGGAGATGAGGCTGGGGTGGGGGGGGGGGGTGACAAAGATCATTCTGCTTGCAGGGTACAGGTCCCACAGATGCTGCCCGTTTGCCTGGGCAGCGACCGCGTGTTGTAGACTGTGCTTCCCTGGTGGAGATTTCAACAGGCAGCGAGCTCAGCATCCAAGAGCAGAATTCACCAAACCCTGGAGTCTGGCGCAGTAGGGTGTATCCCAAGAGCCCACCACCAAAGCCTAGCAAGGCAGCCCAGAAGCAGAACTTTCTCAACCAGGGAAGGAGGCAGGAGCGGGAGACTGGGGCCGTGGGCTTGCGGGAAAGGCTTGGGAAGTGAAATGGGATTGGAGTTAGGTCTGAAGTTCTCTCCCCTTTGCAGATCCACATGGTGGTCAAGCACGCGGTGGGGCTTCAGAGCCTTCCTTTTGAGACACTCGGCTTTCTACTAACCCTGCTGGCCACCACTGTAACCCCGGTGTTTGTCTTGTCCAAACGTTGGACCCACTTGCCTTGTGGCTGCATCATCAACTGCAGGCAGAGTGCTTACTCAGTGGCATCAGATGGCAAAAAAAGTAAGTCCCCTACAATGTGGCTGTTGGGAGCAATAATCATTCCCTCTGATGCAGAAAAGCGGCCCTTGAGAAAGTTGCCTAGTAGAGGATGAAGAGTCAAGGACAAATGTAAATGGCAAATAGAAAAACAATTATGTGAAACAATTCTCATCTCAGTGTTGGAGTAGCTTTTCAACCAGCAGGTTTTAAGCAACCATAGAAGTACTTGTGCAATGATGACTTTTCAAGGTAAAAAAGGAAGAGAGGACTCAAGGATGTCAACAAAGGCTCTTAGATGTTTTATCTAGGAAAGTTCTCAGTGGAAAATAAATCCCCTGCCAGGACTATGTATCAGCAGCAACATTGCTGAGAATCCTGCATCTGGTAAGAGAGTATTAACACTCTGGAAAGAATCAAACACTGATTATGCTAGAGCCCACACTTAGTCATCGGAACAGTAAGAAACACATCTTTACTATTTTGCAGAGTCCCTGAAACAGTCCCCAAATGATTCTCTGCTATTAGCAACATAAACCTGCTCAGCCCCAACCAGGAAGCAAAACCCCTCGGTTCCAAGAAGGGAGGAAGGTGGCAGACTTTGTCATTGTGTATGCATATATGAATCTGGCTTTGCTACTGACTTTTTTTAAAAAAAAATATGTCCCAAGGATAAGCATAGGGGATAGGCACAGGTAGGTTGTGGGTGGGAGGCAGATGTAAGGGTAAAGCTCTCTCCAGAGTAGTTGCTCCATATCATAAAACAGGAAAAACAGAAGAATGAGCTGCATATTTTGATCTGCCAGGAAGAAAAAAAAAATGACATTATTTTGTCATTCCAGACAGAAGATACAATGTTCTGCCACTTAATAAATCTAAGTATACACTGAATTAATGGTCCCATTAATTGTTCTTTTTCAGAATAGACAAGTGTGTTATTCTTCGATAGAAAATTAAGTTAAATAAATGCAGTTTGTATTACACTATTTTGGGGTTGTAGAAATTGGAAAATATCAAAGTATACTCTGAATCAATTCTACAACAGAGTTATTTTATAAATATCAGTCATGAGCTGGCCATTTATCAGGTATTGGTAACAGTTAGATATTTTTCAACAGACAAAAATGATTTTTCATTGTTAAGAATATCATAAAGTTTTATTGTTAACAGATGCCAAGTTCATTTTGTCTGTGAAATGACCATGGGACATATAATAATGATGTTCTTTTGGAGCTTAATATGCAGAGCAACAACAGAAAAAATTAATAATGAATTTTTATGCTTCACTTAAAAAAAAAAACATAAAATAGGAACTCATTTACAAGCCTGCTCTAACAGTGAATCAATCCTCTCAGTCTCACAACATTTACTATTGTGATAGAGATGAGAGTCCAGTGCTGGTGACAATGTGAAGCCTTGGTGAAGTGTTTGAGTGCAGGCTTTCTTAAGAAGTGGGGAGCCCCCATACCAGAGCCGAAAGTAAGACAATGACCTGTCACTGAAGTGACCTCCTCAATGTTCCATCCTGGGTACTGCTCAAGACAGAACAGCCCACAGCCTGGTTAGCACAGTCAATGATCACATCACTATCGAATTTGAAATTAAAAACATGTCTTTCAGAGTAACATTTTCCTCTAAAATTGCCAGAATTTTATTTGCATTTATTTAAAAATTTCAAAGGAGGACTTGAAATATAAAAGCTTATTTTTTTTTTAAAAAAAAAAAGGTGTTTTCAAACATAAAACATTGTGCCAAATGATAGTTTAGGATCTTTAGAGGATCCACTCCCTCTTAGGATTCAGGTTATGCCATAGGGAAATCTGATAACAAGAGTGTGTTTTCACTGTATGAAGAGCCAGCATGAATTTTTCTATTGCTAAAGTGACACAATGACATTCTAAGCACCCAAAGGTGGCTCATCCCCAAGAAGGCCAGGGGTTTATCAGCTGTATGACTTAATTCTTTAAAAGTTTCATGTTCAATTTTTCTCCTTAACAAACTAAGATCCCTTTTCTTTACATTCTTTTTCCGTGAAGGACACAGAAGCAAAGAAGGGAAAATAATTGTTCTGACTCACATTTCCTATAGGTTTACCTTTCAGATGTAAGCACATACAATTTGCCATTTCAGCTTCATGGAATGGTAATAAAGAGACGTGCAAAGCAGAGAAAAGATTGTCAGTACTGGGAATTAATTTACAGAAATAAGAATTAACTTTGGTTTCTGACAATCATCTAGCATTACTAGGATCTCCAAGCAAAAAGTGTTTTTAAGTGATTTTTTAACACAGAGATCTCAGATGGTCGACATAGGAGATGGATATAGCCTTGAGATTCCTTTTGTTTGCCTGACATATTTTCTTTCTGTATGTAAACAGCTAAAAATCATATACTTCATATAAAGAGCAGATATATTTGGCCTTTATTCTTTCACAAAATCAGAGTATCTGTTAAGGGATGTATTAACCTCAAAAATTATTCATTTTATAAACTGCTATAATTACTTTAAAATTATAGTTGACAAAATGTGATTAAAAGAAAAAAGACTAGAACTACTAAATGTTTTAGCCAAGGTTAGTGATCCTAGAAGCTCTTGCTTTGCAGAACAAATAAATTATATTTATTTTTTTAAAGCATGATATAAGGTTTCAGAAAATAATGGACTGTATTCTATTGGTCTTTAAGTTTCTTGAAAGCTACTAATCAATGAAAGACTTCTCAGTACAGAAAAAGTTTTAAAAACAGCTCAATATTTTTTAAGCAGCATAAACACAAGATTCAGAAACTTTAATACCCTCAACCCAAATCAATCAATTTTAAAATATACATAAAGATACCAATTTTTAAAGATATCATTTCTATTAACATGTGTGCCATTCAGCTTGCCTCACAGAGTCAGGCTGTCCTGACAAATACCCTGCCACACACAGCTGGGTAGTTACCATGGGTCATTTCATTTATTCACTCTCTCAGCCACTTCCTTCCTACAGGGAAGTCACTGCCTGTCCAGCAAGGCACCGATAAGTCATTCCTGGCCTGAGCTGATTTTGACTCAAAGACATGTTTTATTTTGAACCTATCTTTATACTATTTATTTGTTGTGGGCAGGGGGTGCCAGGAATTGAACCCAGGAGCACTTAACCACTGAGCCACATCCCCAGCCCTTTATTTATTTATTTATTTATTTATTTAGAGGCAGAGTCACTAAGGGCCTTATTAAGTTGCTGAGGCCAGCTTTGAAGTCAGGATCCTCCTGTCTCAGCCTCTGAGCCACTGGAATTACAGGCTTGTGCCACCACACCTGACTCTTGATACTTATTTTTAACCAATTTTAATTATGGGCCAAAATTTTAAGATCAAACTCAATGCTTCAGCTTCATTTTTTAAAAATCAAGATTGCAGGGCTGGGGATGTGGCTCAAGTGGTAGCGCGCTCACTTGGCATGCGTGCAGCCCGGGTTCGATCCTCAGCACCACATACAAACAAAGATGTTGTATCCGCCGATAACTAAAAAATAAATATTAAAATTAAAAAAAAATCAAGATTGTACAGTCCACCCCAGCCCCCTTAGTGGCTTCACTGGAAGGGACCAAGATGGAAGGTCATTCCCCCACTTGCTGAATACACAGGCCCCTGTCAGTTATTACTGTTGCCTGACTGGCCCCTTAGTCTTGTGGACTTTCTGCTGTTTGTTATTAATAATGTTAAAGAGATGTAGTCTTTGTCCTCAAGGAACTTAGGGACGTTCAGGTTTGACTCTGATACTAACATCTCCTTCAATACTGTTTTGATTATTAAGTGCTTTGATTTCTAACATATTTTTCTAGCCTTCCTCAAACACTGTCAGCTCTGTGATGTCATTATATTTTGTTATGTCCATTGGTGACCTCACTCAGATTTTACCTTTAGCGTTAAGGAAAGTCAGTAATAAAACAAAATAAAACAGAAAAAAAGTTTTTGTGGGTTACACTTTATAAATAAAGTTCTTCCTCTGACCTACAAATAGCATGTCCGGGTCATTTTGCTTAGGCTAACATATTTTCCTCATGGGTCTGATTGGCAGTAGAGAAATTTTTTCCTATGTAGGATAATTACTTCAATTCTGGAATCAGCATCAAAGTCAAATCTTTTTGACAGATAAATCATCTTAGCTGGATTTCCTCTATGAGCCTCAGTTTTCTCAACTGTAAAGCAGGACCAATAAAACTTTTTGTCATGCAGGGCTGCTGGTGTGCCAAATGATGTGGTCTACATGAACAGCTTGGCCCTGGAAGGTTCCGCCACATTGTAGTCTCTCTGGCAGTCCAGCTGCTCCTCAGAGCCTGCCTGGGACTATCTCATCATGTCCTGGCTCAAGTCAGAGTCTCCATTAACATATTCTACAATGCCTTCAAAATATTGCTCATTTTTACGTAGTTCAAAATTATGACAGCTAATAAGCTATCTAGTCAGACATCAGTTTTATCAAGTATTAATCAAGAAGTTGGCATTTTATGACATTTTTGTTTTCTTAATGTTCCTGAATTACCAATTTGTCACTCCATACCCTTTTTTTTTTTTTTTGGAGAAAAGGAAGCCCATCAATAATTAAATAATCTTTTCAGTTCCCCTCACCTTTGATGTTCTTAAAGTAGGTCTAAAATCCTAATTTAATTTTCCTGGACTAGATTAATAGGAATCCTAAGGAGAAACACAAATGAGGCAGTGTATAAAATATGATCATCTGTTTCTGTTTTTCCATTTTCTCTGAATAGAATTTTTTATTTGTTTGTGTTCTGGCTCAAATGACAATGAATTATACTGATAAATTCTATTTTTCAGTCAGCAAAATTGGCTTGTAAATCTCTGGTTCTGGGAACATTTCAGTAATAGAATCAGCATGTGAATGACACTGGAGTGTATTAGAAAGTGAATCAAATATTTCATATGACTCCCATAGAAACTTTATAGCTTTTCATAACTTTTGCCACCAAAGATAGCAATATGTCGGACTATAAAACACAGAACTATCGAAGTAGAAAATTTCTTTGAAACAAGCAATGTTTTCAAAGATGACAACTAAAGTATTAAATTGCATTTTGTCTACCACTTGGCTAAAACTTTTTTCTTAAAATATATTACCTAATATTGAATGGCATTCACACACAAACATTTTATCACTTTCTGCCACAGTCTTGTTATTCTGCTAAGATTTTGCATCGTACTCACTAACAGCATTATGTCTAAAATTCTAGAATATTTTACCTTATTTAAATCATTATTTAGATTTTCTACATTCCTGCTAATTAATCAGCTCTGTACATACTGTTAAATGCTTCAGGTCACAGAGATATACATCCATTCACTTTTTTAGCCAACTATTCCAAACTGATTTGTATAAGAAATGTACTCGCTATTTTAAAAAAGTTTAAAAGCCACATGGCAGCATGGTATAATTTTTAATACAGGCATTCATAGTCACACAAATGTCAGAAGTGTTATACAGCAAAAGTTTTAAAGCAATTATATCTGTTTGTGGCATTCTTAACTGAATAACATGTAATCTTAATGTTACTTGATAATTAACACAATATGTTATATTCCAAAATAAATGAATTTCAGAATTGATGGACCAAAAACCTAAAACTGAATCTATTTGAGAGATTCTTAATTTATGGCTAAATTTTTGCTATGTGGATTATCCTAAAGAATAAAGGAGTTCTTCAGATTGTATGTAATTCAAGCCCCTTCATGTGCAATGGAGGAAAATTAGACCAGAGATAAGACGGCTGCATTTTGTAAGGAATAATTGTTTCACATAATTGACAAGAAGTAACTGAAAATAGTCAGTTAGATAGCAATCTTGTTGAAAGCACTTCCTATTGTTACTCACCATGTACACCCAAGGGTTGTTTATATCCACCTAACTGTGGGATTTTTTTTCTCATTTTCACCTAGCCAAGAGGAGAGGCTTTGAATTCAATCTGTCATTCCAACAAAGCTATGGGATCTATAAGCTAGCACGTGGGGATTACTATGACGATGATGAAAATTCCACATCCTGTCACCACCTGATGAACCCTGAGTGCACGACTGTGCTAGACTCTCAGAGAGACAACCCCAGGATCTTCAATGCCATCAAAGTGCAGATCAGCACCACACCCTCTCTGGACAGCGACAGAGTCAGCAGTTTGGAGAAATGCAGCAGTGCTGACCTTGCAGAGGCCCAGGGAGGTTCTGACCAAGGAAAGGGGGCATTTTCTGAGAGATCAGGAGGTGGTGTTGACGATGAAGAAACCACCTTTTCTGAAGGCCCAGAAAGAAGACTTTCTCATGAAGAGAATCAGAAGCCAGACCTCTCAGACTGGGAGTGGTGCAGAAGCAAATCAGAGAGGACTCCTCGCCAGGTACAGTAGATGTTCTTCCTGAGGTGTTAAAAAGAAACCGAATACAAGAGATGTGAAAATCATTAGATCTGCTTTCATTCAAAGAGTCTTTAATTTTTTTAAGTTAGTTTTACATTTTCATTCAAAATCTATACCTTTGGAATAAACAGAGTTCAAGGTGCTTCGAGAAGGGTGAAGCATTTTACCTTAACCCCAAGTGATCTGCTTAAATTCAGACTAGACTCTCAGAACTCATGCTTCTGAGTTAATTAGTTAAATTAGTTAACTTGTAGGGTTTATTTTTCTCTTCTCCATCCCAAAGCTGCCTCACAAATCCCAGGAGAGGTTTTCTTTTTTCTCTGAAGGAAAATATTTATGCAACTAGTAATATGGAGGCTTGTCCTTACTGATCTGAGTAATAACATAGCTTGCCTCTAAGTCTTGCAAAAACTAGTCTATCCAGTACCCAGCATGAACAAAATGATTTATTCCAGAACATTCTTCTGAGCCATTGTAAGCCTTGCCAAGTGTCTACTTGCACTGAGTCTCCATAATCAAAAATATAATTCCAGAAATATTCTGCTAGGAATAACACATTCATTGATCTAAATTGTGACCACATCTCATTGACTATGAATATGAGCAGGATGATCTAAGATTTCCTTTTCTCCTGCAGTGTAAGCAGAACTGTTATTGTTCTGATATCACTATTTAAGAAGTCAGTGGAATAGTAAAACAAACTACACAAAACACATTATTAGAAAAGATGATCATGCACACTGTTTAGCCAGTAGGAATCTCAGAAGAAATCAGTAAATATTTGTCATAAATTGAAATATATATTGGAAAATGGTAGTCAAAGAATACAGTGCTCCATACAGTCCCTCAACTCAGAGGGGATTCCTACATTCTCATCAGTAATTTGTTCCTGAAGAATCTAAACCTGCTGGTTTTCTAGCACTTAAAAATTAAGTGATATTCATGATGAAGTGTGTGTGTGTGTGTGTGTGTGTGTTCCAATAATTTGCAGCTACCTTGTGAGCTGTTCCCCTATAACCATTCTCATGCAGACCCCTTAGAGGTTACAGCACTCATGGATCTTGCTCATACTTTTTTTTCCTGCTTATTTTATCACACATGTTTGTACTTCTAGCACAATACAGTGTTTAGATTTTCTAAGTTTTAGCCTTCTAAAGGTGATAGTATACTATATACAGTCTGCTGGGACTTTTTTTTCAGTTGACGTTACTTTAAACAACTCAATTTATATTTTTTCAGAACATTGGGGTTTAGACAGGCACCTGTGATTCCAGTGACTCGGGTGGCTGAGGCAGAAGTATCCCAAGTTTGAGGCCAGTATTAGCAACTTATTGAGGCCCTGTATCAAAATATAAAAAGGGCTGAGGATGTAGTTCAGTGGTAAACTGCTCCAGGATTCAATCTCTCATACCAAAACAAACAAAATTTAAAAATTAGAAATTATCATGTCAAAGATCACAATACATAATCCTCATTTTAAAATCTTATTTATAGTTTGGAAATTATAAACAATCAACTATACCTAGAAAAATGTGAAACAGTCAAATCCTGTTTACGTGAAAGTATATTGTTCTATGAGAATAATGAAGTACAACTCACCCCAAACCCTCTTTAAATCAAAATATAAAATGATGTGTGGAAATAGAAAACTTTGCTCAATATATATAATCTTACAACTTTAATGATTTGTTTACTAAATAATTAATATTTTAACATCAGTGATAAACAAGAAATTTATCCAAAAATGGTGCCTATAGGAAAAAAAATGACTAGTGGTAAATAGATAATGCAATATCCAAAAAATAAAAAAAAAAAAAATCTCTGTAGAAGTCTTGATGAAGTTAGATGGAATATTATCATAGATTTTACAATAGTAAGAAATCCTTAAACTACAAGCTCATGGATGACTCCCTTATCAAAATTGCCTATGATCTTTAAGGTTAGCATTAAATCAAATTATAAAATGTTTAAAAATTTTATAAATTTTACCAAACATTTTCAAAACTTATGAGAACTTTTCCTAAGGATGAAAAAAAAAAGGAAAAGAAAACTTAACTCTTACATAATTTTGAGCAGCTGATCTCAGGTGAGAGAGAGTACATGGTGAGTCAGCACTTTCATTTTTAGCTTTTCTTCCAAGTGGCTTCTTTGCTCTGAAAACAACATACATAGTACATGGAATGATAGATCAAGCTTTAGCAGGCACTGCATTTACTCCATGAAAAAACACTACCTATTGATTTTCTGTATTTGTAACTTTCAAATATTTAGGCTCAAATTTTCAGCTTGTATCTAATGTTACTACAATGAATAGTGTATTTGATTTTAAATGTATTTCATGAGCTTTATTTTTGCAATATACTTTGCTTAATTTTTATGTTAGTAAGTAAATTCTCAGCAAATCTTGTTGGAACTCATAGTAGAAGTGAGAATATCAGGTGAAAGTTACTGTATAAAACTGATAGTAGTAGAATGGCCTTCATGGATTTAAATATGATCCAATATGAGGGTGTCTGTAAGACTGAAATTCAGTATTAAACCTGGCACACAATTGGCTTCTTTTTGGCCTTCTAGTAGGTATAATCAGAAGTGGTTCACCACTAAAATGTTCAGGAAGAATAGTCAGGTTGCCCCATCCTTCTGTGAGAAAGTTTTAATGTGGGGTGAGGGTGTGGCTCAGAGGTAGAACACTTGCCTACCATGTTCAAGGCCCTGAAAATCTAATCTTTAGGTGGCAGTTATATTATGCCACCTAAAGCAGTTATGCCACCTAAAGCTGTTCTTAATCCTACCATCACAGTATCTGAGAGACAAAAGGTCACCAGGAGGGTTAAAAAGCAGATTCTGAAGCAGTCCTCAAGTGAGACAGGATGTGCCAATAAATGATGGGCTTTGAATTCACCACAAAAATTTTAATTCAGCCAATTAAAGCCAATAAAAACAAATATGAAAGCCACCTGAAAATCAAGGAAAATTTTATTTTTATTTTAGGGGAAATGTTTTAACTATCTGAAAACATTTTTACAAGGCGAAGCTAAGCTTTCTCATTTGCTAGTAGAGTTCAGTGCCAGCTTCAGGTTCTGAGATCTTTTAAAAGTACCAGTATTTTGTGAACTAATTTTCATAGGAAACTAGAGAGAGACCCAAAGTCAGCTGGACTGTCTGAGTTCTTTAGACCAGAGCCTCTCAAGTTTTAATGTGCATGCAGGTCAGATGGAGATCCTAGGAAAAATGTAGATTGTGATTCAGTAAGTATAGATTAGGCCCAAGATCCAGAGTGCTAGAAAACATCCAGAGGATTCCTGTGCAAAGTTGTGCTTCCACCCAAGACCAGTGTCATCAAAATTCCCAAGCTGGTTCACACAGGAAAATTTAAGGAGCACTGTGTTATATTCTGATCCCTGGAGAATGGATGTCAGTTTAAAGAGCAGGACAAAATTAATTCTTTCCATTTCATATATGACCATAAAATAAGACCAAAAAAAATCCCAGTGGATAGTTCTTTTTCCTCCCCCTTATAAAAGTACTTCCTCTCTTTTCACTTTTAAAAGAAAACTACTAATAAAATGAATCAGGCATAGGATGTTAGTGTTTCCTGTGACATTATTACATTAATAATTACCAGTGCTTGAAATTGTCTCTGAGTGATTATTGACATTATTTCAACTGAAATGGTCACAGTCAGAAAAGTTCTCTTATCATCTCCCATTTGTAGTTTCTACCAAGTCATCCTAACACAAGTGATGATCCAGAGTATAGACGTGTTATTCTTAGCTACCTCTACTCATCTGAAGTGCTTAGTTCATTACTCACTATCCAGAGAAGTAAAAAATTGTCGTGCTGCTTTCTTTCAAAACATTAATAATTTTTATTATTTTCACTTTTATTGGGGAAATTTTAGAAATCATTGATAAGCAAAGAGAAAATCACTTTCTTCCACTGCACAGACTTAACCACTGTTTATATTTTGTCCTATAAAACATGAGGCTGTTTCTTATACATGTATTTTAACTTTGACAAAAATGGGACCATACTGCAAATACTATTTTGGAATGTTAGCCTTAACAGGTATGTCCTATCTACACTCAGTAGTTTAATTTTCACCTCATTTAAATTGTTGAAATCCCATTTTAAAAAATATTTTTAGTTGTTGATGGACCCTTATTTTAATCATTTATTTGTATGCAGTGCTAAGAATGGAACCCAGCGTCTCATATACGAGGCAAGTGCTCTACCACTGAGCCACAACCCTGGCCCTGTTGAAATGCTTTGTGTCATTATCTTGTATAAGACTGAACACTCGTCAATAAATGTGTATTTGTTCTCAAGTATGTAACGTCTTGGAAGTGAAAACTAAGATAATTTTATTCTGAACTATTTCATAATGCATGTTGTGATCCTCAGATTGTGTACCATTGGCTGTGATGAGCTAGCAGCTCACTTTCTATAGTCAAGGGATTAGCACTGGATCAAAGCTCATATAGAACCCTCTATTTGCCCTTATAAACCAAGAATTCTGTTAATGTTCTTGAAGAAATCTCATGGCTTAAGGAGAACTTAAAGTCTAACAAACCACCGGGCTATGCCTTGAATTTCTTCTACAACCCTCTATTGATTGGTTACCTCCTATTTGAACTCAAGTGACAGGGAACTTGCTATATTTTTAAATACTTTTACTGTGAACTAATTTCAGACTCAACAAAAAAGTTGCAAAAAATAGTACAAAAAGTTCCAACATATTCATCATCTAGTTTCCACTAATTGTTAGTTAATTGTTAATTTGTTACAAAATAACAACGCAATTATCAGAAAATTAACTACAGGCTTTATTTCAGTTTTGCCATTGTCCTGCTGATGTCTCTTTCTGGCCCAGGATCTAATCCCTCATCACATATCCTTATGTTCTTATGGCTCCTTGTTCTCCCCAGCCTATAAGAGCTCCCCAGTCTGTCTGTCATGCATGGCTTTGATGCTCTGGAGGA